TAGTGGGTGATCCAACAGGTTACGGGTGGTCTAGTCACATTTAGAAACAAGATATTTTTTTCAGAAGCTACATAATGTTTAGGTGTTCATCTGAATTTTCAAAGCATTACATCCAGTAGTTTTTCTAAATAAAACAAAACAAATCATTCAAAAGTTGTGTTGAATCAATGCAACCAGGTGTCTGAGAGTTAAATAATTAGAACTAAAAAGATCCTAATATCCTAATATTTTGTTATAAGTTATAAAACTGTAATTCTTTGTGAAAACATAACACATGAGAAAAAGGTCTCTTTCTTTTTTGATTTTCCAGGACCCAAAAAAAGATAAAAATGTAAAAAAAAAGGTATTTTAAATAACCGGAAGAATCGGTTAAATATTTTTTTTGTGAAACCAAAAGTAGCATACATCCAGTAATGCTCCCTTCAAAAGATAAGAGTCCAGTAAAAGTAGACCTTTGTTACTAATGTGCCCGTGCGTCAATGCTTGAATCTTTGGTTTTTGTTATTCACATTACTGATATTGATAGGGGAATAATTAGTAAGTCTATGAAGTGTGTTAATGAAATCGAACTCTGTACTATTTCTAATTGTAATGAAGTTATTGAAGTACTACAGAATGACTTGGGTCAATTGATAAATTGGACAAATAGTTGGAAAATGGCCTTTAATTATTGTACATGCAAGGTAATGCACCTAAATAATCATAATGTAGATGAAAAAAATTAGTACAGATGGGAACCCACTAAATAGCATGACCAGAGAAAAAGATCTTGGCATATTGGTGAATAACTCACTCATACCATCAATGGAATGTTTCTGTCACTAGTAGTAAAGTTAATGGAATTTTAGGGTGTATTTATAAATATATTGATTACAAGTCGAGAAATAGTAATTATCTCTTTTACACAAATCACTAATTAGGTTTCTTTTGAAAAATTATATGCATAGTTATAAAGCCAGAAAAATTGTGATAGTTATGGGACATTGTCTGCTTTTTGCATGTTGTTATTCTGCGTTCTTTGATGCATTATTTAATTGAATAAAAGTTATTTAGTGCAGTACTACCATTAGTTATTTAAAAAAAGTAAGGTTTAATGTCATTGACAGTCAACAGGAAAAAAAAGAAGGCCCAGGTAAGTACTTTATTTCTTGTTTTTTATGTGTATTCTTTATTTATTATTATAAAACTTTTTAGGTTAGTTAATATTAGATTTAGTAAAATAAATAATAATAATATATTAACAAATTTTCATGAGGTATGTTCGCTAGTAGCTTGTGCATAATGTAATTCGATAGCCTGACGTGAGCTGCACGTTCACTAAATGATTTACAACTTATAATGGTGTGAATAGTAGTTACACACATATCGAAGGGCAATAAAACAGTATAATTTAAGTATAAATAGATGTATAATGTTATGAGTTTAAAGCTATTTAGGATAAATAAATGTAGTTTCATGTTACATTTTGAAGTAATTCTAGAAAAAGGGTAATTCAGATTTATTTCAAATTTTTTTTGGTAGTTATGAGGTTGATCAAATTGGCCAACCTTGTATAAAGTTAGGATAGAGAAAATAACAGATAAAATACAAAAAAGTTTCACTGAAAAAAACATTTGAAATTTATTTGGGAGGTTTTAAAGATTACACAAATGAAACTTGAGATTTTTAAGACTAAGAAAAGTATTTTTAATCTTAACGTTGAAATCACTTTGAACTCCAAATAGTAAAAAAAAAGACTATATATATATTCACAGAAACATCTTTTGTAAAAATACTTCATTAAAAAACTGATTTTTTGTGTCCAAAAAACTTGTAATGCTTACTAACAGACTGCCAAATTTTGTGAAGATACATGCACTGTTTTAAGTGTTATAGTATGGAAACTATAGTGAGTACAAAGTGGTTACGAGTTTAGTCATTTAGACTGACCTCATAGTGAGAGAGTTAAGGAAGGATGAAATTCATGAGCATTTCAATTATTATAACAGTATAAGCTTATTAAGAAGGGGTTGAAAGGAGGGTTACTTGGATGATTACAAAAATGGAAGGGTTACTCTATGGTAATAGTTTAAGATCACTCAACTTATTTTCTCTTCAGAAAAGAATGTTAAGAATTGATCTTATTAAGAGTAAAAAACACAAAAACTGACGTTTTTTGGTACAGTGAAAAGTAAAACCAAAAATCTTTATTATTAGTTACAACCAACTAGTTTTGGTAACTAGTCAACTGTAACTAACAATAAAAGTTTTATCCTTCATTGTCAGTTTTTGTGTTATTTACTCTTAATATAGTAGCACAGTGTACCTGAAAAGAAATTATAAGAATTGATCTTGCTGAAATTTATAAGATTATCTGAGAGACTGATAAGATAAAGGCCTCTAATTTATTTGTGCTGTATTTTGAATACGATAGAATGAGAGAATATGATTCAGATTTTGAAAACGCACATTAGCTTCAGTTAAGACAATTTTGTTTCACTGATGAAAGGATTAGCTTATGAAATGAGTAGCTATTGGCAGTAGAAGTTTAAGGGAAGAATAGATTTTGTTTGTTTTAAGTGAAAGTTGTGTTTAAAAATTTTATCTTTTCTCAGGAGTTGGCATAAAGGGATAGCCTTGAAGGAGATCACAGGTCCAAATCCTTCTCATATGAAACATGCTTTCCCTTTCAGCTGTGGGGTCATTATGATTGAGGGTCAGTCCCACTATTCATTGGTATAAAAAGTAACCCAAGAATAGGAGGTGGGTGATGTTGACTAGCTGATCTCCCTTTAGTCTATCACCCCTAAACTAGGGACAGCTAATGCAGATAACCCTCATGTAGCTTTGTGAAAAATTCAAAACAAACCAGATGGAATAGTCCATAATATTAGGTCACTAAATACATGTAATGTATATGTTGTTTAACAGAAGTTTGGTACATGTCATGGAGCTTTAAAGGTATCTTTTATGAATTTTTTATTTATAATTTTAAATTATCCTTATTTAAAGCTTTGAACTTTTGGTATTTTATTTTATGCTCGGTTCATTTCAAAAAATTTTTTTTTGGGGGGGTCATTTTTATAGGTTTTTCTGGGTTTTCAACTTTTCAGATTCCAGAACAATGACTTCTTAGTCATGAAAATGTTCCAGTCTTGAGACATTACACTAGATATTTATATATATTTAACCTGTGTGGAAACAGTTAAGAGTAGATTTATGAAATTAAATATATACAAATTTATTTTGTACCTAGCCAAACCAGTCATAGGTGCTATTTTACCTTCTGCTGGCCTGACAATGCGACGACAGAAACGGCCCCCATCTCAGGCAAAGTCAACTAAAGGTACGGTCTTGTTTAAGTAATTTATTAATTCTGTCTTTCATTGATTAGGATAAGATGGAGACAGCAATATAAATTTATATCTTAAAACTAGTTCCGTGCTAGTGTTGCATTAGTTCAAAAATATTTAGTCGTATTAGTTATATCACTAGTTTGCCTTCCCTTGTTGTGTTCTTGTGTTTCATTTGAATCTTAAAACAAATGGAAAGAAACACTATATCTTGACCAGAAAAGAAGCCTTTTTTTCATGTACCTCATTATAAACAACTCGGGTTAAAGTAAAGGAGTTGTGTAATTACCTGAAGGAAAAACATTTATTATCACATGATATGCTAACAGGGTTTATCTTTATGAACTGTCTGTGTGTATTGATATTTAATTTTTTGATTTGTGTGTTGCTACCTGTTGTTTTGAGTTGCATATAAGCCCATCTGATTTCTTAAGTTATATACCCATTATCATCTCGCTTCTGAAGTACATGTAGTAGTGTCATTTCCCCAGTTTCCCTTATTGATGTTTGACTTCCTGAGTTTTTGTGTATCGCTGTCTGATTTTACCAATTATATGTATTGCCATGATTTTTGATTTAAACACATTTATGTTTCATTTCCTCAGTTTTGTATTGCATCTGATTTCTTTAGTAGTTATATCTAGTTATTTATAATCTTGAAGCATATTATGTTGTTCAGAATAGTTGCTTTTTCTCACAGACATTTGTACAAAATCTTTTCCCGTCTTTGTACTTGGAAAACTACTTCCAGTCACAGTGACCTAATACTAATTATTTTCTGATCACTGCACAAAATGAAAGTCATTGCCTTGCACCTGTTCATTATTAATAAACTGATAAATGTACTAGTATTAATAAATGAAAAAATTGCACCTGAAAAGAAAATCCTTGAATTTGTTTTGGTTGTTTTATTAATGTAACAGCCATTACCTGTATACATAACTATGTTTACAACCTAGATTTGATCTCCAGATATGTGAATATTGTTTACTGTAATTGGTTCTATAGTTTTATTGCAATTTTATTTAAACATGTGCTTCACGATCATTTGCTAACGGCCATTTGTGGAGAAATGGCAGAGTATTATGATGCTTTTATTGTCAGTAATTTAGTACCTTCTGTACACATGTAGAATGAATTTTGGGCAGGAATATAACTTTGTGATGCTGCTCTTTGGATTCAGAAGTAATTATAAAAGGCATGATACATGTGTAATTTGTTTTCAGTATACATTTATTTCACAAATGTTTCAGAAATATATATATACACACACACAGTTTCTGCTAGTAAAGCAACATATGCTTTTAATGCAGTACTTATAGAGTAGAAGTAAAATGTCACCTGGAGCCTTTCAAATTCCATTCAAAAATACATTTCATTTCACAATACATACTGTACTGTAAAAATATGTCTAATATAACTTTAAATTTTCTGAAATGCTAGCATATTAATACTAAATCTCTATGATCATTGTAACTACCTTCATGATGTTACACTTTGGTATAATTTTCATTGACAGTAAAATAGGAGGAGCATACAGCTGATTACTTCTGTAGACATTCTGGCCCAGATTTTATCTACTCCAGGCTGACTGGCAACTTCTGTCTCTGCTGATCAACTAGCTTTTGAAACAGACTTTGACTGTTTACTAGTTAACAGTTATATTGGATTTCATTATGTTCTTTAACTATTTCTTAAATGCATAATTTTCAGTATAAAAAAAATCACCTTGTCACAGTTTTAATTTTTAATGATTAATTTCTAGTCCGTGTATATTAAATCCTTATACTGATTTTAATGCTATATCATCTTTTTACTAGTGGCTAGAGATACATGATTATGTAATTAAGGGTAAAAAGTAAGTAGAAGAAACTATGTTACCCCCTGTTAGTAAGTACAAGAAACTGAGTTAAGTCATTTTGTTAGTAACTAGAGGAAACTGTTACATCATCCTGATAGAATAAGATATGGTACATCATACTGTTAGTAAATAGACAAACTTTATAATTAGTCAGTGTTTTTGTTTTTTTTATCTTATTAATGTTTCCTTGAGAAAGACTTTGACAGATAGTATTTGTTTGTTTTTTGTTAAGCATAAAGCTACACAGTTGGCTATCTGTGCTGTGCCCAGCACAGATATCAATACCCTGTTTTTAGCATTGTAACCTGTCACACTTACTGCTGAGCCATTGGTGGGCCAACAGGTAGTGTGAATGTTATTTTTATCATAATAATCTGATATAAAGTGGTATAAAAGCTTGAAATTCAATAAAAAATCATTAGTTATTTGTCATTTCAGAACTTATGCTTCATCATGTGATTTACTAAATTTCTATCTCGTATTATTCTAAAAATGCAGGTTCACATCATTTAACTTAGAATTGTACTAAAATTTTTGTTTATTGTTTATTTACTTGATTCTGAATATGAACAGAAATAATAGCAAGGAAAATCTTTTAAATGTCTACCAAACTATCTTTTCTGTTTTTTAGATAACTGTATATAATGTTACCATCTCCTTTTTCAAAACTATAAAGGATGTAGAATGTTACTATTTATTACCCATACTAAATATTATTTTTTCCATTATTTAGTTAGACCCGTGTCGATGGATTCATCCACAGTTAGCTTGTCAGAGAAGGAGAAAAGGTCTCCTTACAGACAGCCTAAACCTAAAGTATCCCAGCGCCCATTGAGTCAAGAACATGGAAAACCTGGTAGTCCTAGGGAACCCAAAAAAAAGTCCATACGACCAGGTATATATGTTTGAAGATTCTGTGCGCAGAAATGTGTACATTTGTAGTGAAGTACTTTAGTTTTGTCAGTTAACCCTTCAATGATATTTATTCTTTTGTTTTGTTTTTAGTGTCAGCATCTTTTAGTCCCCGTTCTAGACTCAAACCTGTGTCAAAAACAGTAGATGTTACTCCACCCTCTGATACTCAACCTCGAACTTCAACAAGAACGTCTAAGTTGGGAATGACTAATGGTGATGAAGGACATATATGGTTGAAGTCATCAGCTAATGATACTTCTAAGAAAGAAAAGGAAAAATTAAATGAGGTCATAGCTAAGAAAGATATAGAGAAACAGGATGGGGAAAAGAAACTAGAATCAACTGAATCTGCAAATGGGGAACTATTTGATGGAATTGATGAGACAATGGTTCCTTCACCACCTGTGCAAAAAAATGAATCTCAGAGAAGAAGAGAAGATAAACTAAGAGGATCTTTTACTCCAAAAATGCCCTCTGCTGTTAAAGATGTGGTTTTGCCATCACTTAATGGGAAGAGAGAGACTATACAACCAATAAGCGTAATAGCTGTGAATGGGGTGGCTAATGGAAAAGAGACATGTGAGTTTGCATTTAAAAACAGAACTTTGAAAGAGAGCAAGGTGTAATTTTCAATAATAAATTAATAATATTTTTTTTTGCAATGAAAATAAGTTAGACATCAAATCTGCAGAAGTAATGGGCTCTTTTTGTTACTCATACATTAAATTTTTTAATCATTTTATTTTATACACTAAGTAAATTACAGTTTTGATAATGTAATTTGTTTTTCTAATATATTTTGATACTTTCTTTATCATCAATTAAAAGTGTTAAAGCTACCTTTATAAAAGCATTTGTGCATGGTTAAAAGAAAGCACCTTGTTTACATATCATTGTTATGGTCACATTGTCATAAAAACACATTTTATTGATCAACTGGATGTTTAAGAAACAAAGGAGGTTTTGTGTAGCTTAATTTGTATTTAACTCAGCAAGAATGTATTTAACTCTGAAAGAATTGATAAATTAAGGTAAGAGACTATAATTTCTTTTCTACACTTTATCTCAATATTTTAAGTGATTTTGACTTTTATTTTATAGCAGACAGAGAAAAAGCCACAAGTCCGCCAATTCTTGTAACTTCTCTTAGCTCAATCCTTGAACCACCAAGTAGAACTAAGGCTGCATTAGGGGGGAAACAGTCTGAGATGATGGTGACTCAGAAGTACCCTACAGGTCGAGCTGAAGCCATGTTTGCAGAGAAACCTCCAGCTGTGTGTCCTGAGATGATGACTTTTCGACCAAGAGGTGTTAAAGGTCACAAAAAAACTCCTTCCATGTCTGAGATGATTCCTCATCACAAGAGTGTTTCAAGAACTGAAGAAGGTATCTGTTAGTTTTTATTTTCATTAAAGTCAGTGTGAGGGTCTCGTTTATCAGGTAAGTTAACCTCTCACTTTTGTCTATCAAGATACACCCAACAAATAAGATGATAAATCTTGCCTCATTAAAATCATTGTAATACCTTACATAGTAAAGTTCACAGATGCATCTAGCATGCTTCATTTAAAAAAATATTTATTGTGTAGTGAAAAACATCACTCAAACAAGTGAAATAATCTAATGATAGTCTATAAAATCTATGTGATAAGCCAGTAAAAATCAATTGACCATAATTTGTTAACCCTTTCCAGACGGGTCACGGGTGAAAGCCCATGTCATCGTGTTTGTTGACTCGTATTCAAAATTTTATTGAACAACTATTTCATGAATTTATGTCATTAAGTTTGGTATAAAACTGTAGATTATAATTCAAATTTTAGTATTATATGCTACTCAATTTCTTAATTTAAAAGTAAATATTAAAAAAAAACAGTTAAACATCCATTTTTGTGTCACATGGTATGTTGAATGCAGCACTGGTTCAAATTAGATGATTGTGGTGTCAAAATACAAAATCTATAGTTTTGTATGAATTAGCAACTCAAATTACTGATATTAACAAGCTAGAATA